AGCTCAATTCTTGAGCTGTCCAGCAGGACTCGAACGTGGGGAGGAGGACACAAGCCCATACCACTACCCCCATGCTCCCTTGGTCTGCCCACACTCTCTCTTGCCTATAAATAGAGAGGAAGAGAGAAGAAGAAAGTGTGGTGGGAAAAATAAGTGGGAAATTCTTGAGTGAGTGTGAAACTTGAGAGGAAAAGAAAAGAAGTGAGGAAGAGAGAGCTTGTAAAGTTTAGTATTCTCCTCATAGTGAAATCCCCTTTCCGTGGACGTAGGCAAGTTTGTCGAACTACGTAAATCTGTTGTCTCGTCTTTTACTGTGTGTTGTCATAGCTTGTAGGTTCCCTCGATATTTTAGTTTTAGAACTGATGAGAGGAAGAGTATATATTTCACTTTGATGAAATATATCACTTTCGATTCTTGTTTCCTTTGAGAAATAAGAATTTTACTATCTATTCTAGTTTTCTTTGAGAAACAAGAATATAGAGGTTGACTTGTGCTTTTGTGATAACAGAAGTCAGGGCTATCTCTCAGGTGATATCGCTTCCGCGGCGTGAGGGCGTGTCTCTGCGCCCAACAGATTCCCTTATGTGTCATGCCTATTTGATGCATTTGATAATCATGTTAGCTCTTCATTTAGACTCTTCCACTTCGGGAAATATGGAGGTTTTCTCCATGGTCGCATGATTGAACTGTTTGAACATAAATGATACAGTTAGCCATCTTTCAACTGGCCTTTTTAGGTTCTGCGACAATACCTGCTCTTTGTTAGTTGCTTTGGAGAGAAACTGGGAGCTCATAGTGGACATAGGGTGGATATTAGTCATAAAATGTGGAGCTTCTCAATTGAGTCAAGCTCCTTGTCTGACTCCATTTTACTGTGAAAAGCCTAAATGACCATAATTAGTAATATTTATTTATTTTTTATTTGTTAGGAATAATTGTTGTGAAGAAATATAATGTTCAAACTTAGGGGTGGAGATAGAAAACATCTCATATGTTTGACAGACAACATCAAGTAGCTTGTTGAACATTTACTATTATGCCATTCTGGTGAGTGTCCAGTTGTTGAACTTGTCTCAGTTTCTGTATGCATGCTGATATCCCTCAACCAATTGTTTGGCAAATCTCTTCTAGACTATTGGACGAGCTGTTTTTCTCAAGCAAAACTTAAACCTTGATCTAATATGAAGATATCAAAGCCATTCCTTAACAGGCTAACAATCACAGTGAATTATGAGTAATGACAAGCCGGAAGTCAACCTGGTGAAGGATGAGAAAAAGCTACAGTTGATCCAACATGTAATATCTGTTACTTCTATCAATACTAGCCAGATGTTCAGGGCGTTCACCACTAGGTTGTGCTACTTGTGAGGTGGTAATTTAAACTGAACAGGCTTTTAGGTTCAGACTAATTATGGTGGCAATCCTGGTACGGAGTGACTTGATATATATGCACATATGGTTATATCCAGGATAGAACATAGTGAGACTAGTGGCTTGTTTTATTCTTCATTACTATTTCTCCTAAGTTTGTCGTTTATCTGTCAGCTTATAATTAACATTTTCTTGATGTACAGGTGCAAAGAGAGCACGTGAAGTTGTACTGAATGTTTTGTCAAATGCATGTGATGATGGAGACCTTACAATTCCTGATGCTTTGGAAGCAATTGAGGACATCTTCAGAAGAAATGCATTACAAATCTATAATCTGAATGCTATTCTTGGGTCTATAGATTACAGAGGTCCCAAAATTTGCAATGGTATTTCTAAAACTTATACAGGAGGAAAGGATATAGTGTCTGTTCGTGTCACGTGGGTCGACACTTCTGGCCAACACCGATGCCGGGTCAGTTTGTTTCTCAAGAAATTTGTACGCTTTTGGTACGATTTCTGTGTACAATTTCTTAATTTGCCATTATTTATATAATTCTTTAATTAGCGAGTAAAAGAAGTATTTATTGACCAAAATATCATAAATAGGAGATGAGCAATAAAAATCAGTCTTATTCATCTGACTAGATGTACTTCCATTGATGGGCACTGTGGCGATTAAGAGATTTATTTTACTTCATTTTAGTTGTCCATTCAATTTGTAGTGGCGATGTTGGATAGATATTGACACTTAAAGTGGGCCATTATTGCGTAATAGAATGATAAGGTATCCAGTTTTTATTCTATCAAGGGTTAGCTTGTCCTGGATTGTAGGTGGGACTGGATGCCACACCTGCAGCATGTGCGTCATTATGGATGATCTATTGTCACAAGCTATTTAGTTGCCTCATTCTCTTTTAATATTGCTATAATGGATGATTTGTTTTCTGCTTGAAGATGCTAGTTGGACTATTGTTATCTGCTTGAAACACTATCATCAAGCAGTTACTCAAGAAGTCAATCAAAGGGAAAATTGATGTGGACTATTTTGCATCAGCATGAAATCAAACGTGGAGTTACCCAGAAGTAACTTTGACTTAATGCATGGA